CTGCAGAGCATGCAGCGCATTTCAAGAGTTCAAATCGAGCACAGCGCAAGATACCGTCACGGCTGTGCAGTTAGCAGTAGCAGTAGTAGTAGCAGTAGCAGTAGCAGTAGCAGTAGCAGTAGCAGTAGCAGTAGCAGGAGGAGTACAACTACAGAGATCTGCTTTGCACGATAGCACGGCCACCAACTTCATCGCTCACTCTCTTCACCCGTACACACTGTCACTTGGCTGCATCGTCAGTGCTGGATGGCAATCCACACCGCAGAACAGTCAGCGAAGCGCGACCATCAGCTTCCGCATTCCATCGACACCTCGATGTACCATGCCGCTCTACTCGGGCCACCACGCCAACGAAAAGGCGGAGGCGGAGGATGGAGAGAGCAGGACATGGTCGATGGAGATGCAAGGCGACGAGCCGGCTGGGCAAAGGTATGGCGATGCGGAGCGTGTGGGGCACGGTGTTGATACCGGTGCGGACGACGAAGCGCAGGAGAGGCTGCTGAGCGGCGGTGTGGAGGGCATTTACGTTGCGCATCGCAGCGACGGATCGCCTCGCAAAGGGAGGCGGGGAGCGTGCAACAGGTCGGCTCGGAGATGTTGCGTCATCGTAGTCCCTGCCGCACTGCTCTTGACGCTCCTCTTCGCCTTGCTGCGCAACTCCAACACATCCACGCAGGCAGCCAAGCCCGCTCTGGAAATTGAAGCTGAAGGCTCTGCGAACACGACCTCCTTCAGCCCCATCGACGCCCTCGTCGACCCTTCCGTCTTTCAACTCGCAGCGAGCGGTAGCGAGTGGGATGTGAGCCAAGCCGTGCGGACGCGCACGTACGACTGGACCATCTCCGAAGTGATCGCTGCTCCAGCCGGCGTCTCCAAGCGCATGCTGGTCGTGAATGGACACTCGCCTGGACCGACAATAGAAGCCAACGTAGGCGATAGGATTGTGGTGAGGGTGAGGAATCGTATGATCAATGGCACTGCCATTCACTGGCACGGTCAGCCTCTGTCTGGTGCAGGTCAAAATTACATGGACGGCACCAGCGGTGTATCTCAGTGTCCCATTCCACCCGGTGCATCCTTCACCTACGAGTGGACAGTCAGGACCAGCGGGACGTATTGGTGGCACGCGCACTTTGAAGGTCAATACAGCGACGGCTTGTACGGCGCTCTCATACTTCACGATCCCAAGGATCATTTGCAGCTGATCGTTCCTGGATCGCGTGCAAAAGAAGAGATGCCATCCGAGTCCGCTCTGATAGCCCAGCAGTCTCGATACCATCACGATCGCGTGATTCTCATGTCCGACATTTGGAACGACCTTTCGAGCGCTTACTTGGAGGGCTACATGTCCTTTGAAGGTCCACCTGGCGGGTGAGCGAACTGTGCGCGCATCGTCGCGATGATGCTTTTGACTGACTCTGCTCCCTTCGTGCCGGACGAACGAATTACCGACAGAGTGCAAGGTGATGAGCCGGTCCCTGATTGTGGCATTGTCAATGGCATTGGCCACTGTGCAGGTGGTCTGCAACACAGCCCTGCCTCTCTACCAGTCTTGCCCGACAAAACGTATCGTCTACGTCTACTCAACGTGGGCTCCCTCGCCGAGATCCGTTTCGAAATCGAAGGTCACTCGCTGATCGTCGTGGAGGCGGATGGGACAGAAGTGGTGCCTCACCGCGTCAAGAGCCTTACCCTCGCCGTCGCTCAGCGGTACAGCGTGCTGGTGCAAATGGATCGAGGAGCGGAAGGGCAAAGGAAGTGGAGGATCAAAGCGGACCTCTCTGATAGCATGTTTGGGTATGAGCCGGAGCACTTGATCAAGGAGCAAGCGATGGTGCTGCAGTACGAGCAGCCCGTGAAGCACGACGAAACTGAAGGTTCAACGGCCTCGCTGCCCGTGCCAGACCATCAGATCGACCAGTCGCTTGACTCTTCAGCACTTGTGCCGCTCATCGTGAGTCTTTTGAAGGTGCTTGGTGATGCATTACGGCGCTTAGCTCTTCTTCTCCTGTACGACGTCGACCACGACAGCCCATTGCGGCCCCAAACAAGGTGGACAGGCAAGAGACGCTGCTAGTGTCCTTCGGCCTGACTTCCTCCAGCGTTTACCGAGCTTTCTTCAATGAGACGTCTTGGGAGATGCCGCCGGCCAACGGAAGCAGCGTAATGGCACTGAGGAACCAGAAGCCATATCCTGACCAGCTCGTCTTCAAGAACGACCAGACCATCGTCATGGATCTCATCATCAACAATGAGGTGAGCTCAGACCGCCAGCGCTTCCGATTTCCTTCAGTCCGCTTCAGCTTTTGCTGAATCATCCACCTCTTGGCTTGTACGGCGCAGGACGAAGGAGATCATCCGATGCACATTCACGTGAGTAACACGTCTGAATTTACTCTGACCACGCGAAAAGCGTACCAACCTCGACCTGCTTTCGCTGACGCTACGCTATACGGACTGCCCGACAGGGCTACGTCCCCCAACTATTAGGCACAGGTGCCGGCTTCTTCAGCTACGATCAACCGTCTCTAGATTTAAAGCAAGACTTTCCAAATCCGATGAGACGAGACGTGTGGACCGTGCCTGGCTTCAGCTGGACAGTCATTAGGCTCACCTTGGATCTCCCTGGACTATGGACGTTGTGAGTCGCTGTGCCAAAATTGTCGGCATGGCATGGCACTTGACCGGCCGACAAATGTCGCTCATTTTTCCACCCGCCCAATTCACCTCCCAATCACACAGTCATTGCCACCTGCGCGAGCACATGGCCATCGGACTTGTCGCAGCCTTCGAGGTGCTGCCGAGTCAGATGGGCGATGTCCCCAGCGCTAACAGGGCACTTTGCGATGCGCAAAGCAAAATCTGACTACAGTCTACCTTCCTCCCACGCCCGGTCCACATTTGCAATTTCAGAGCGAGGGCGAAAACGCGCGCCTTGTCCCCCTTTCAGTATACCTTCGCCTATCCACCCAGCTGTACCCTGTATCATACTTTCTCGTTGTCTTTGTGCTCTTCCCTCTGGCCACTGCCACATGATCGGCATCGCAGATACGTGAAACGCACGACGAAGCGCTAACGCTTGTTCGGAAATAAACCCGAGGGTGTTCTATGATAAGGATTCCGTGCTTGCTGAAAAATGCTGAGACTTGGCCAGCCGTGTTGGCTCATGCACGACAATATGCTTTCATGGAGCGTTGGCAGTGGCGTCCTTGGCCTTGCGCAAGCTGTCGATGGGAGTCTCTCCGCTGACAATCTTCTCGACGAGGTCTTGAACGACGCTGAAGTCCTTGAAGAGAGTGTAAGGGATTTGGTACTTGTCGACGTAAGTCTTTAGGTCTGCGAGGATGAGGAAAAGAGAGACACAAGGTGAGATAGTGCCAGCTGAGGAAGGCAAATGCAATCTATGGAGATCCTTGCAAGTCATGACAAACGGCAGACCCACCATTGTCCTTCTTGTCCTTAACGAAGAGCACATCGGCGTGACGTGCCGCGGACATGTCGGAGCTGGAGAATCGAGGAAAAGAAGCGCGAAGCGTCAATTCGAGGTACTTGAACTGAGCATCTCAAAGGAACGCACATTCCGTCACCGGCAAAGAAGAGGAGGGGAGGGTTGGGCAGCTCGCGGTAGGGCAAGATGCTCAGGCTCTTGTCGTGTCCAAAGTGGCTGTCTGGGTGACGGTAGACCAGCTCCCAAGTCTTTCCCTCCTTCTCCGGATCAGTGAAGTTCACCTCGTTAGAGATGACATCGATTTTGTTTGCCTCCTCTTCTCCGATCAGGTTGCTGAAGATGCTACGGATGATGGGCGTCATGCCCGAAGAGACGACGATGATGGGAATGTCGTGCTTCTTGCAAAAGGTGTGGAACTCCTTGAATTTGGGGTCAAGAGTGACATCTGCAAGTAGCACAGGCAAATGCTCAGTGGGCGATCTGCTCATCAAGATCTAGGGCAAAGTCCGGCCCTCCACCACGCCAGGAAGCGGACATCCCAGCAGCCCGTGTATGAACGAGAGAAGACCACTTCGATCTCGGAAGATTGGACAATCGGTGCGAAAAGCCCAAACAGCTGAGCTCTCCATGACGGCCAAAAGTCTCGAGTAATGTCGCGGCCTGGCTTCGCTCCCCCGATCGCCAGCTAGCATCCTGCCCTCAACGGTCCAACAAGCTTCTCCTTACTCACCTCGCCTGACAAGCTCCTCCATCTCCTTGAAGGGGCGGTGTACGCTCTCCACCATCTTTCTGAAACCGTCTTTGTAAGAGACGCGCTCGTGGATGATCTCCTCGTTGATCTTACGACGCTCTGTGTAGCCCATTCCGACAGTGTCGACCATGTGGTCTAAAGGCGCGCGAGAGAGGGATGAATAACACACGTTAGAGGCGCACCAACGTGCGTAGAGTGCCAGGCTATCGCTCACCATTGCTGTCGAGCTGCGCATTTGAGAAGCGAGTGATTGTTACCGGACGACCATTCGTCAGTGAGAGCTGCGAAGCTGACTGGATGAAGTGCTGCCACTCACTTGGGTGATGGTGCCGTCTGAAGGGCGGAGAAGATAGAGTTGATGACGAGATGAAGAGAGAGAGAGAGAAGAGATGAGCGAGCATACATCGACAAGGCAGAGGAGATGCAGCTGGTAGTCATGCTACAGACACGGCTGAACGATGTGAGTGCTTCGTCAATGCTCTCCAGAGCACCTATCTTACCTCCTCGGACATGTGATCACTGCCCGCAGCGTGTGGGCTCCTAGCGAGCGACCACACCGGCCATGGCCGGCCCGTGTGCACTTCCAGGAAATCTTTTTGCGCTGACCCAACACTCACCAAAGTCGGTGAGGAACACCATCTTGGCGTCTGCGTACTGTTTTGGCGTGAAGAGGACATAGAGTCAGTCAACGAAGACTGGCGGAAGCAGGATCGAAGCAGCTTCATGCTAGTGTGACCGTTGCTCACCTTGGCTGGGGTAGTCATGTTGGGCAGGAGTGTGTATATGTACGATGAAGTATGTGTTCGATGCTTGTTTGGTCCAATCTGGCAAACAGACGCTGATGAGGAGAGGATGGAGAAGGGGTGAGGATCTCGCTAGGCCCGACCCTATATACTGTACCTAGCCAAGTGGTCAAAATGAACGAACCGAAGAAAAGCGAGGGAGCGTGCATTCATGCAAGGCGCGCGCATATGCGGGCGCCCGCGCGCGTGCTCT